GTCCCCGCCGTTAGTGATTGGTTCATCCGCGCCAGCCGCGGTGATGAAGGCGGCTCCTCTGCAGCGGCAGGGCACGCGGCTGTGGCTGACGTGTGTTGCATGCGGTGTGCACAAAGCGTTGAAACTCCTGGGCTCACCAAGGGACCCTCGCCTGGGAGTCGAGTGAGCCTGTGGCATGCTCAACCTGCACAGTGAGCGCGCGGCCGAGCGCACACGCACGCACTCTTGCGCGGCTGTGAGCAAAAAGTGTTGACGCACCCACACCCTTCATCCCCAGCTCCCACATCACACCGCAGCAAACAGGGCGCGTTCTTAACCAAGGATACACCCACGCAACATTACATCACACTCCGCATTGACACACACGGGGATTGCATCCGCAGGTCGCCAGGACGGCAGGCGGCGTGCGCCCCCGCCTGCCCATCAACTTGGACTTTTACGCGGTGTCTCTCGTATGCCGCTCTGCAGCCCTCACAAAACAGTACATGATTAATGCATATGGTACGGCCAGCATGCACCCACCCACCTGCACGTTGTACCGCCTGTCCAGCTCCCGCAGAGCAGCCCCCAGCCGCGCCACCTCCCGCTCAGCGAGACGCGCCACGTCGCTGTCGCGCTGCGCCTTGCTGGCCTGGCTGGTGGCGCGCGCCTGGCGGCCCCAAACCGGTTTGCGTGTTCGTCCCAGCAGATTGTGAAGGAGTGAGCCGTATGTCATGCGGCCGCAAGGTAAGTTCCTGGGCACGCTCACTGGACGGATCCCAAGCCACACAGCCAGGCAGGTGTGACAATTGACACAACGTGGCACAGCGCGGCGCGGCCCCACGGTTGTGCTCCTCCTCCTTGCTGCGCTGTGTGCTCCCCTGCGCCACGCCATACTATGTGACATTTCTGTTGCCCCGTACGGCACACAGACACACGCTTGCACGCGCATGCACAAACACACGCACAAACATACACCCCCCCACCCACACACACACACACACACACAAGCACTCAAGCCCCTCCCACCTGCGCCCTGCCGAGCTCAAACAGCAGCTTGGCCCGCTGCTCCTGAGCCGTAATCTTGCCAGCCGCAGGCCCCAGGAACGAATCACCCGGCACCGTCCCCGCGCCCGCGCCCGCCGGCTGCCTGTTCCGCAGGCTCGGCGCGCTGCGCGGCCGCTTCCCCTTGTCTTGATCGGGGCTGGGGCCCGCCCACGCGCCGCCCGGGCTCGCAGGGCGCCGC